GCAGCTGTCTTGCAGTAACCGACAACAAATCAGTTTTCTAATAACGATCGATCTTAAAACTTGGGAGTGTTTTTTTCATTTCTAAGAATGCTTGAAAATTTCTACGTCTCCTAAAACATCTCATTTCTCTTATGTAGCGCTAGACCTGTGAATAAAAGTGTGGCAAACAAAATAAGCATCAAAACTGGGGTCCATTGTGTGATCTTTGATCAATCCTACACCCCTAATTTACACAGTTATGATCTTGAAGACACAGTAGGGTGAGCGTGGGTCAACTCACAGCTTTCTCCAGGAACAGTTGGTCTCCTGTTAGATGGTAGGTGCTCAGCAGCCCCCCGAGGACGCGTATGGTCGTCTCAAAAAGATTCACGTCCACGTTCTTGCTGAAGGACAGCTCCTTCTCTATCCAGTCCTTTGCTTCTGCGAACTCTGTGCCAAGTGAGATGAATTACAGCCGTGTGAAAAGGGGGGAAAAAAAAAAAAAAAAGAGGACAAGAAAGAAATACATTTGCGTGGAGGAGTTTCGCCTCCGGTGATGGCATCAAGTGGACTAGTAACAGATTCCAGAGCCCCCCACCGAGGCTTTGTCAGAGGAGAGCAGTGCTCCGACTTAGCTGAGCGAACAGGATGTAGGATCAAGATGCAGCACAAGCACAGGGATCGCTTTCATATTCTACACATTTACAACAATGCAGACGCGCTGCCGTGTGACGCTAGCAGCAAGTGATATAACCTTGAGCCTCCTCCTAACTCCACACCTGCAGGTTTCTGTTTTCATACGTCGAGCCTCCAGCCCCTTCAGACTTTCTCCCGCCGGAGAAACAGAAGGCTTTGTACAACTTTGTTCATATGTGCAGCAGAGCCACGAAATGCCTACAAACACACTTTGAAATGCAAAACTGATGGACTTTGAAGCTTGTTAGGATCAAATGCAAAGCAAATGGAACACTTCTACACAAACTGTACAGAAAGAGGGGATGCAAACAGATGTCTCAGCTTCAAAGAATTCAAACCGTTTGGTATCTATGTGATCACTGCCTGACCTTCAATCCTACTAACAGTTAGGTAGAAGTTACATACGCGATCATATTGTACACAGAGCGGTAGAGAAAGAAATAGTCATGACCTGCACATTCCTAAAGGCCTGAGGAGAGACATTTGTGCATTCCAAGGTTAACACGAGAAGAATGCACATGGGAGCACGCCAGATAAAAACAAATATGTCTGATAATTTGGTATTTTCCTCACAAAGTCTAGAGTGGTTCAGTATATTGGAATTAAACAAAGATAGCGGGAGAATGTTGACCAATCAACAGCACTGCATCCATCTAGAAGGAGCAAGTAGAGAAGGAAGAGAAGTAATAATTGACTCTGCACTCTGAATCCAGCTCCTACACATGATGCTTTTTGAAGTTTCTATTTACGTACAAACCTAAAAGTGTGGATGTTTAAGCTATCTAGAATATCTCTCCATATTTGTACTCTATTTGATGTCAGCACTGAAACATTTCACTGAGCCTTTAGATAGAATAAGTGACATGTGATACCTTCTTTGAGGCCCATAATCCACATGGTGTCCAATGAATCGATCAGCGTCAGGCCCAGACTGAACCATTCACCAAAAGACTTGGAGATGGGTTTGAGCTCGTCGTGCCCCCAGGCGTGGTTCTTGTAGCCTTTCCACGCGTGTCTGAAGGCATCACGTACGGCCTCCAGTCGGTCTGGAGCTGCAGTAGAAACTACAAACAGCAGAAAAGGGATGAGAAATAATCAAAGTGCTGTGTTTCCCCCCAGGAAGCCCTTTCAACAGCTCGTTTTCTGATTATTTGCAGCGGCGGAGGGATTATTTCGTTCCACGTGTTGACGCTTTGAACGCACCAGGACTTCATCTTCCAGGTTTGAAATGTTCAAATGTGCAGGCAGAAACAGGTGCGGGGCTTTAAAACGGCATATAGAAGTAAAGCTGGTCAAAGCTGGGTGAAAGAATCTGTTTGAAAACTTTCTGTGTAAGAAAACTTTGCACTTTTCGCTGCACCGTTCATCAAACTCGCTGAGCGTCAAGATGCTGACCTTCCAGCGGGACGGTGTCGGCAGGGTTCACGGCCGCTGGAGGGACTGCAGCTTCTTTCTCATTGGCTGACGGCGGCGGCTCCGTGGCCTGGTCGGCTTCGATCATCGCTCCTCTCCAGCTGCGTAATAAAAATTTTAAAATACCATACACCTGAATTATTCATACGTGCCTCTCTGATCCATACACTACGACGACTACAGAGCCTCAGCGCCGGTGGAAAACATTTGTTAACATGTCAACAAAACCTTCAGTAGAGCTTTTATAAAGCGAAAACAGCAGACAACAAACAGGTCACCTGACAATCTTCTTCTCTTTGCCCTCCTCTTCGCCTTCTTCCTCTCGAACCACCTCTTGTTCTTTCTTTTCCCCGCCGACTGTGTCTGAAGCATTTCCATCTTTCTGCAGGTTCGGTGGACCTCTTTTGTTGGGAAATGTCTTTTTCTGTGGATAAACAAACGGCTAGAGCTAGAAACAAGGGAGATAACATGAACACCTCATGGCAAGGGACTCATAAGTATGCAAATATATGGTCCACTGGATGCACGTATCAAGAATGACCTTTTAAAAAACGCCATTTGAGAGCATCTTGTGGAGCTGTGACAGGGTTCCAGAGTAACTTTTCACACTGATTGCACCGGTGCACAAGACGTAGCACATCATTTAGGTGCAGCCAAAGTTTTCCACAGCATTTTAAACATTACCTTTTATGCCAGCTAATGTTCTAACACATTATGTAAATGGATGTAAACAGGAAATAAAGATGCACATATTTAGTAGATGTTTGTCCTTTTGCACAAGAACGATCTGATACTTAATGTTAGCAAAACCTCGCTCTGCCTTTCCATTATAATGAACAAAGGCAAATTTTACAAACATTTCTTGGCTTTTTTAGTGCTTCAATTTGAAACCCTGATGCTCTCATGCATAATGTTGATAATTTATCATATTTCCGTGTTTCTCACAGGTTTAGAATTTACTTGCGGTGGTGGTAAAGGTGTAACCCAGGTTGTTTTCTCACATTTCCAGATGCCCCCTAAAGGCCTCACATGCTAATTATAAGCAGTTGCTAGAATTTACTGATGTTCCTAAACGCTGCACATGCATCAGTAGACACTGCAATTTACTGATGCTCCCCAAACGCCCCCACATGCATCACCCAGACAGGTGTGTGGCCAAAAACCAAGTGAATTTATCTACCTGGGCAGGTTGCCCAGAGACACAGACAGGCCGGCTAAATATCAGGCACGCTGGTGCGACCGATGAATATGTTTTGTTGACAGATTTTTTTCAGTTGCACCCAAATGGTTGCACTCTGGAGCCCTGTGTTAAATAAACTACTGTTCCAGACCCAAAACTACAAATATTTAGACTGACACCACGCCAAGTCAGGTGGAAATATTAGGATTTGTTGTCAACTGTTTTAGCAATACAGCTTTAAGAAACCATAATATAGAAGGAAACTGTAAAAGTATATTCGTCTCATAATTTACTGATGCACTCGATTAAGGAGATTAAACAGAGAAAAGCAGTTGTGTTTCATGATGTCACTTTAATAATATAAATGTAATGTGTCTGATTGTAATGCAAGACTAAGTATAATTAACATGTTTCATTAATATGATAGATCTTTGGGGGTTGGACCGCTTTTTGGCAAAAAACTGCAGATAAGAACTACTTAATCTTGGCCAACAAGCATTTTTATATTTTAATTGATGTCAACTGATATTCCTTAAATTTAAAAAAAAAAAAAGCAATTACAAGTCTAACCTTGGTGGGAGGTTTCGGCAAAATGGGGACATTTGGTCCTTTGGGCTCCACTACAACGTCCGGATGCACAGCTGGCTCCAGATGTGGCCCAGCGGCAGGAGCTGGAGGCTGGTCACCTGCAGCCGGATCCAACGCTGGCTTCACACCAGGAGGGACGGCCTTCATGTCTCTGTCATTGACCTCCAGCCAGTCCTCCCTGTCGGACAGCCCTGCACACACGAAACAGACAAGAAAATGATTACCATTATAAACTGCTACTGTATCATAGCTCTGATACTGGGGGGAGAAAATACTTTGAATGATGTAAAAACTGAGAATGAGCAGTTTAAGCAGGCGTATGACACCTCATCCTTTTGAGTTTTCCAAGTTTGCAAAGATCCGTAAACTACTCATTGTGCACATGCTATTCTGTCAGAGAATCTTAACTAAATTTAAGCTTAAAATGGCTTTTTTTCACATTTCATTTAAACATTGACCAAACATAAATCTTTTGCACCAGATTTGGTAAAAAACAAAAAAATTACGCACTTCTTGGTGCAACCGTGAAGCCAAAAGTGACTCATCTACGACTGACAGTCACGTGACAAAAATTCTGCAACTTTTTGGCTGAACTGCAGGCTGTGTTTAATTAATTAAAACCCACTAAAATATATGTAGTAAAATGCATCGAGTATATAGAGTCGATTTTTTTTTTTTTGCAGTAATGGTAAGGCCAGTGGGAACTTGGGAACAGTTGTGTATTTTGATGAATTTTTAAAAAAATTTCTTTGTAAAATAAACAGTCCAACTTTCTTATTTATATGATTTATGGCATTTTAACTTTGCCATACTGTATAAAGAACATTTTTGAGTTCCCTCTACTTGTAGCCATGGTTGTGGTGGAGGTTTCAAACTTTAAATTGGATTTTAAAAAAACAAACAAAAAATGAACACATAGTGAATAAAAATGTGACACCTACAAACTGTAGCTGTAGGAGTTCAGAGGGTGAAAATGCTGAATTTTTTTAGATTTATCCACCGAGTGTGGATTTCATTTAAAGCACAAAAATGTTCTAAACCAATAAAGAAACTGACACCTATCAATGTTTTATCCTGGTGTGTTGAATTGATCAGACACAGACTATATGCAATCCCATCAGCTTGAGCTAGCTAAAGCAACAGCACCTTCGTCTGTGGATGTGTGCACGTGAGCTGGGCATCGGCCGGTTACCTCTCCACTGCTCTCTGATGCTGGGGTAGGAGAGCAGTCCTAGTATGAGCAGCAGAGCCAGCAGGAACAGGATGAGGCTTCGCTGGAGCCGAGACAGCTGCTTCCATTTCTGTAGGCAGATAACAAGCAAATGGCGCTAACTGCACTGAAACATATCCAACGGCTCCGACTTGCAATCACCAACGTCTCAAAGCAGACTCTAATACGCTCCCCACCCCCCTGCAAATCTATTTATGCTTCTTTTAAAGCAGCAGAGTAAAAAAAAAAAAAGATGGAAGACTGATGGCCCTCCTTACCCTGTATAAATTCAGCATCTCTCTCCACTTGGTGTGTTGCTGCAAGAACACTGACAGATCACAAATAAAACATCTAACAAGCTGAACCCAGGAGTGTAAAGGGAGGGACGAAACCAGGGCCTCTGAGGATATAAGACTAGCAGGCAGGCCGGTGCCACTCTGTCGGCTGCTCTAATTAACACCTGTGCAACACCATGAAACTATTGAGCCATCGTCTGTGAGCTACGATGAACACACAACAGACTTCATCTCCGGGGACGTTTTCTTTTGTACTTTGCTATAGTTCTGTCAGCATAACAGCGCGGGGACAGTGTGTACGGTGCAGCGGTGCAGAAATGTTTTCCTGAAAGTTGGAGCCACCACAAGACTCAATGTATATATAAACATTTTGATAAAGTTAGATTTGGAGTAAGACTTTTTATAAGAGTAAAAAAAATCCTAGAGAATATTTTACTTCACAGAAAACAGGTATTTCTTGTTGGGATGATTGCGCATCAGTCTTTTGCCTTCATGCAGGCTTTACGTGCCACATAGTGTGTTATTAAATTACTAATTTTAAAGTCACACCAATCAAAGTGTTTAATTATGATGGGAAAATCAAACACACGATGAAGGCTTGAATTAATTTCTAGGATAGCTTCGTTAATTTGTCAGTATTAAACAATAATTCCTAATGAGATAATTCATACATCGATGCACCCTGGACATGGATAAACCACAGAATTGAGACGGATGGATGGATTCATTACTCAATTTAGCATTACTAATTAATTTAAGTGTAAAATCAGTACTTGCCAATGAGATGATAAGCTTTTTATCTACAGCATCAGTCTGATGGAGCCGACTGGAACTCCACTTAAATGTGAAATAACTTAAAATTGTACCGACTCAATATTTAATTAATACAATAAATATACTGTCATTATATCTAATTTAACAAGTCGAGTATTTGAGCTAATGAACAATCAAAAATCAATTCTTTAAGAAGAATAGTTACAAAAAATACTGATTACAAAGGAGAAACAAAAGCAACACATTTGATGACACGCAAGTTAACAAATGTTAAATTAAATTTAAGGCTTTTCACACTTTCGAGGCAAACAAATTACATGCTTTATAAGACTTTTCAACACCAGCAGATAGTAATTATTGTGTAGATGTTACACTTCAGTAAAACGCATGATTTCCAGTTGATAACGAAATGGTCGTCAGCAGAGCTTTCTTAGTGTTTGACCTAATGTCTGCATCATGGCTCCAAATGGGAAAAAATCTCCAGAGGAACTGAAAAATCCAACTGTAAGACTTCACATAGCCGAAAAAGAATACAGTCAGATTAATGACCAACAAAAAATCAATGGAAATGGAGTTGCAGCAGTAATTAGGAGGTATAGACGAACCGTAGCACCACTACTCAGAGCTGCAGCAGTCATCGTCCTTAAATTATGTCATGAATAACGTGCTACTTGGACAATCGAACTCTAAAATAAACACGTGGACAAGTGCTTTAGATGTGGCACACAGGCTTAAAAGAGAAACAAGAGATTCAATGACTTAGAAGAACAATTCATAACAGCAACTTCTATTGATGGTGTAAAAGAAAAACAAGCCTTTACTTGCTCTTCAATACAAAACTCCAAGAATAAACTTTGCTTTAGAACATGACAAGAAGCCCGATGAATGTTGGAAGCACAATCTTTGGTCAGATGAGACCAGGATATATTTGTCTGGCTCAGATGGAGTGAACCCGGCCAAGAGCGCCACAGTGAATTCATCGTCCCGACAGTGAAGCACAGAGGCGGGAGTGTGATGAGACGAGGCTGCAGGAATGAAAAAGTCGTTGGGGATGCAGCACCATAAACCGCCTGTGGATACACCACGATTCTAGCCGCCAACATATTCCTTGGCAGAAATGAAATATTCTAGCATGATAAAAAAAAAAAAGAGAGAGAGAGAGAATCGAACAGAGACTGAAAAGTTTCTGAAGAAAAATAAAAGATGAAAACTATGACCTGGACAAGAATGAAGAATACTTCTGGGGTACTTTTGAAAGAAACATAGAGCAACACACCCCTCCGGCAAAGAGCAGCTGAAAAACTCTCAGTAATCGAAGGGGTGCTGGCTTCTGTTGCACTTTTAATATAGTACATATTAACTGCTTGTTTTTATTTTTGCATGAGATCAAGTACACTACTGTTCAACTTTAAGTGTTGCAATTCGTGTAAAATGGGGCAACTTTAAAGGCTTGTTTTGAGGGACTAGATTAAATGCTTTATAACCTGTTTCAATACCAGCAGACAGATGTGCAGATGTTATATTTCTGTTTTTAAAGCTCATACCACAACGAGCAAGAGTTACTTTTTCATTTCCTCTACCTGCACTGGAGGCAGAGAAACTCACCCCATGTACCAAATTCAATGCTTCCACCTAATATACATCTTTGGAAACGTGGAAGGAACCCAATATAAATAGGGGGAAAGTGCTTAGTGAAGCCTTGTGCTCCATGCGAGCAGCCAGCACCGAGCCAACGAGCCACTCAAAGGAACATGATTTGCAGGGAACGGTTTTCTCAGGAACCATGAACCGTCGTCAAATTTGACGGCCGACGGGCGCAGAGGAGTGCCGAGGCAGATCGACAGCTCCGCCATAAAGTCGGCTCCGTGGAAGAAACGTCAGCTGATATACTGCCGGAATAAAAGCTTACAGATCGGTCGATGCGAGCGCTCGTTTGCCTTTTCAATCCAGAGAGCAGAATGAATCCCATTTACGAGAGTCGAGCGTGTCGTTAAAAAGTGATCCAAGTAATTAGGTTGGAATGATTTAGGGAGTGTATTTGATTATGATCGGCAGATTTTCTGAAACATAAATTTAAAACAGTTTTAAGAGTTTATGAAAAAAAAAATGCATGAAAAATGTGATTCCAAACTATTTTTATGGAAAAGTTAAAGTGG